ACCGATAAACTTGGCATGCATACCCCACGAGCTTGGTAGCTCACCAAGGAGCTCGCCAAGGAGCCAGGCAGCTCGGCAGAGTTCGCCACAAGCAGCTCGGCATAGCCCAAGGAGCTCGGCATAGCTCCCCCGGGCAGCTCGCCACTTGTAGGGTAGCTTGGTACAGAAGAGTATGGCGTACCGCAGGAAGATCTCCTGCCTAACAACCTGGCCCAGACACCGACTCATCGACTAACACAGGAACCGACCTAACAACCTAGCCCAGACACCGACTCGGCGACTGACACAGGCGCCGACCTGACAACCTGGCCCAGGCGCCGACCTGGCCGCCTGACGCAAGCGCCAGCCTGACGACCTCGAGGAGTTCACCACCATACCCCAGTTCTGACAGGATGTGACGAGTCTTACCGTTTGGAGGCTTTTCACCCACCTAACCGCGAGGACTCTAGTATATAAAGACCTCACCCCCCAAGGGGGGAGGGGGAGAATGGAGGTAATCCATGCTCTCTAGCTCTCTCATTTCTCCAAAATCATCTTCAAGCTCTCTACAATCAGAGTGCTAACTTAGGCATCGGAGAGTCCCCGCTGGGAAAATACCCCCGGATCCTCTTATTCAGTTCTCGCAGGTCCCTCAGCTCCCGCCGTCTACAAAGGGGAGGAAAAGATGGAGTTCTCGCAGGTCCCTCAGCTCCCATTGCCTACAAAGGAAAGAAGGTCACCTCATGCAGAGGGCAGTCGGGTTGCGTTAAACTAGGGAGCTCCACCATTCTCTGAGTCACAGGCCGCATAGTAGGGAGCTCGCCACCAGGGAACTCGTCACCAGGCAGCTCATCACCAGGGAGCTCGTCACCAAGTAGCTTGCCACCTCACAAGCAGCTCGCCACTAGGTAGCTCGCCACAGGCTGGTGAACATCCTCGGCCCCTTCCCCACTGCTATTGCATAGAAGAAGTTTCTTCTCGTAGCAGTGGACTAATTCACAAAGTGGGTAGAAGCCGAAGCCCTGGTACACATCACCACCCACAATGCCCGAAACTTCCTTTGGCAGGGATTCATCTGCCGCTTCGGTATCCCGCATGTGCTCAGCATAGACAACGGAACACAGTTCATTGACAAGAAGTTCGAGGCCCTCTGTGCCAACCTAAGGATCGATCACCGGACTACCGCAGTACACCAACCTCAAAGCAACGGGCAGACCGAGGTAACCAACCGCATCCTACTACATGGCCTGAAAACGCACTTAGATCAGGCCAAGGGCAGGTGGGTTGAGGAGCTACTAAGCATTCTCTGCGCTTATAGGACGACCCCACGAACTGCCACTAGAGAGACCCCTTTCAAACTGACCTACGGGTCTGAAGCCATGATCCCCGTGGAGATAAGTTCCCCGACCCTTCGAACTGAGCTCTTTGACAAGGAACAGAATGATGAAGATCTACGCGCAGAGTTGGACCTAGTAGAAGAAGCTCGAGACCGAGCATATGTGAAGATGGTTGCACAACAACAGAAGATGACACGACATTATGATTCTAAGGTAAGAAGACGCAAATTGAAGACATTCGACTTCGTTCTGCGCAAAATCATAGTCCCCACAACAGGAGAAGGAAATTTCAGACCGAATTGGGAAGGACTGTATAGAGTCACCAGAGTCCTTGGACCAGGTACTTATAGACTTGAAGACCTCGAAGGTCGACAAATACTAATGAGTTGGAACTCGGGAAACCTCAAGATGTACTACCAGTAGACGCACAAGCAATAAAAATCTCCTTCTAAGCTACTTCTTCGACCTAGAGATGCGCCCATGACCACCGCACACACTACACACGCACATGCCAAGTCACACTTCCAATTGAGCTGACTCCGTCGATCCCCAAATGGCTGAGCCCATTACGCCTGGTTCGACAACACATTGCCAAGTAGGCTACCAGACTCAGCTGCCAACGACTAAGCCTAAACATGGAGGAAGAACGCCCCCGCCCACCAAGGCCTGAGGGCGGTCGAGGAACTCCACACTACCGTCGGCTTAACGGTTGAGCTAGCTGTGAAACGTCTAGCCCTAGCCCCAAAGGCTCCCAAGACCAGAAACTGAGCATCCCATGGCTGGTAGCTCGAGAACCGAAAGATCTTGGACAACGACACCTCGGTCAGCACAAGACTGGGGACGTCGAGGCGTAGCCTGGCCAACTACACCTCGGTCAAAACAAGATTGGGGGCGCCGAGGCAAAGCCCGGCCGGCTACACCTCGGCCAACGACACCTCGGTCAGCACAAGACTAGGGATGCCAGGGTATAGCCCGGCCGGCTACACCTTGGCCAATGACACCTCGGTCAGTACAAGATTGGGGGTGCCAAGGCATAGCCCGGCCAGCTACACCTCACCCAACCATACCTTGATCAACACAAGACTGGGGACGTCGAGGCATAGGCTGGCCAGCTACACCTCAGTCAATGACACCTTAGTCAATACAAGATTGGGGGCGCCAAGGCATAGCCCGGCCGGCTACACCTCGATCAGCACAAGACTAGGGACGCCAGGGTATAGCCCGATCGGCTACACCTCGGCCAATGACACCTCGGTCAGTACAAGATGGGGGGCACCAAGGCATAGCCCGACCGGCTACACCTCGGTCAA